GGAGATACAGTGTAAAGTCAAAGCAGCCCGCAGAGACCTGTGTGAGGCAGCAGAGCAGTATTCTCATGCTATGAATAATACTCACACAATCATGTCACTGTAAACATGTTTATTCATTCAACCTGGCGCTTTAAGTATACAAATTATCTTCTTGGAGGTATAAGTGGACAGATAACATTAGTGATAGTGCAGTAATAAAAAACACATATTTTCAAGTCTACTTTTCTACATTTAAGTACCAACAATGAGTCATGAAGTTAAACAGTCCAGAAAGTAAATGTTGTCCAACCCTTACCCTACACTTATTTTATCTTCCCCAATTGAACAGTTTATATAGTTATAGGCACTTTATTAAGAGTTTCCCGTTCAGTGGTGGCTTCCATGGGTATAATAATAGAAGACCTAGGGCATATTGGAGCATATGTAGCCGTTAAGGGGGAGAGAGAACTATTCCGCCATAAAATAAAATATACACTTGAGAGAATTAGTATAATAATCAAATAAACAATTGAGCAGAATTTCTGACCTTGTTGTAGAGTGTGTGCTTCTGATGTTCTGTCCCTGGGCAGATGTGGCTTGAGTTGTTGCTTACATACAGCATATGGCTCAAAGTCCCTCTTGGCCTAAATCATATGTTGAATGTGTCAACCCTTATTTCAACCATGACTATCCTGTCCAAAAAGGCCTTTGAGACAGAAACTCTCAAATATTCGTTCCAGCTCAGCTTCTATTTTTGGCCCTAAACTTCTATGCACGATTTATTTCCATAATTAGTGTGTTGGCATCCTGGCTGCACAGTCACAGTAAAGTATGTTCTTGAAACAGCACACACCTTTTATTGCCATTGATCTGTCCTGACCTCCGCAGACCCCATCTCTACCAGGTCGGGCTTCCACTGCAGCCAGTGCCAAGCCTGTCCTAGCTCTGCAATAAAATAAATGAGAAGCTATGGGGCTGGTTAAGCCAGGGATATTGTTCGATTTCACGTCACCGCTCTAGGAGGCAATTTAAGTCAGCCAGCATGCTAATCCAGGCCCGTCCTAAGGGCTGTGCGACCTGTGCCGTCGCACAGGGCCTCGCACCACACAGGGGCCTCGCAATCTTCCTTCCTTTTATTTTATTTTATAAATACACTAGTTCAAGGGTCCCCAAAGGGCAGACTGCACTCCAAATTTGGAACCCTAAACCCCTTTCTCTGGACCTCTTTGATTTCGTTTGATCAAAAGAACATTTTTACAAGTAAAGTCAAATTTTCACCAAAAGCGATTTGTAAACAGGCAGGCGCGCGGGCAGCTATGTATGCAACGGGTCCTCCGAAAAAACTGTCAGATAACTTTAGCAGTGTCTGAGTGAGATACAAAGAAAGTAACGGGAATGATCGCAGTGTAGGAGAGATGGATACTCGCGGAGGAGGAGCAGTGAGACAGGTGTGAGCAGAGGAGCAGACCCCTTTGTGTGAGCAGAGGAGGAGGAGGAGGAGGAGCAGTGATACAGGTGTGAGCAGAGGAGCAGACCCCTTTGTGTGAGCAGAGGAGGAGGAGGAGGATCAGCGGTGTGACAGGTGTGTGAGCGCTGCTATTGCCAATGTTTAGTCCGAATATCCACATCAAAAACATATTTTTAAAAGCATTAGCAAACACACTGTATGTCTAGCTTTAGCTAGCTGGAGTGTTTTTGTTGTGGTCAGAGTGTGTGGAGGAGGAGGTGAAGAGTATTTTGTTGTTGTCAGTGTGGAGGAGGAGGAGTGTATGTTGTCAGAGTGTGTGGAGGCATGGCAAAAACGTTATTTGATGAGAAAATAATAATATTGACTCCGCCTCATAGCCATTTTGGCGCATTTTGCCCAAATCTAACTATTAGAAGAAAAAGACTCCTTTTGGTTCAATCTTTTGAGTTGCTCTACCATTTTGCCACAGGACGAAAGAGACATGTCAGCTAAAAAGACCGCGACCAATATTGCACGTAGAGTGTGTGTGCGTGTGTACGTGCGCGCGCCAAACGCTGCATAGGAGCGAAGACACTCGGTTACACGCGTGCTGATCTCGTCAAGCACCGCGCGAGGTGGTGCTGAATTCATGTCAAAGATTATAACAGGAAAAACTTTCCTCAGATCTGGGAAAAAAGTGTCAGGGCAGGGCCTCGCGTTTCGAGTTCGCACAGGGCCTCGCACCCCCCTTGGGACGGGCCTGTGCTAATCAACCTACTATTAAAAGGGACTACACTTTCCCTCATTGTTAATGAAACTTGGCCCAAAGGATAAGCACAAGTTTTAAAGCAAAGGTGCAAATGGACCAGGAGAATCGGTCAAATGTGACAATAACAAAACAAAACTCCTTTCTCTTTTCATTAGCCTACATGTTATTTTGGATTTTTATATTAATTATGAATTGAGGCAGTGGCTAATGGGTGTCAGCTACAATAGAGGAGCTGCTCAAACAGACGTGCCCATAGAGGATGTTTGGTGCAATTAACATGAAAACATAATGGGTTAAATGACATATGGAGGGTCATTAGAGATTGTGTGCATATATGTATTCTGAGAAGAAGTAAGGCAAAACTTTATATGATGTGTATCAATGTGCATTAGAACAGAGACGTAATGACTTGAGATATTAATGAATCATGGTTAAGATATAGACTGGTTAACAATGTGGGCCAGAACAAATATGTTCAGTCCTTGTTCTCTGTTTCAGTAGTTCTATAGTAAATATGCAGGTCAGAAACTATAGTTTGTATACCTTTAGGAGGATTGACTTCATAAACAGCCATATACATTTTCTTTCACAATCAAAAGACTACACATTACAGAAGGATGTTAAAGAGCATTTCTGTAGCATGTAAAATAAATGATTGGACAGAGCTATGTGGCCTCCTGCCACCACTACTTCAACCCTATAGTTTGAAAAGCCTGCAAATAATTCAAAACTCTTAATATCCCTTTGGTATTGGTTGCAACCACAGAAACGTGATAGTGTTCATTCCCCAGCTTGTGGCCTGGGCCACAGGTCACTTCTGCTGGAGGTTAAACTAATCGGACTTTCTCCTCTGCTCTCAGCTCTGGCCTGTACACTGGCAGATGGGATTGGCTTTACGTTATCATATGTTTTAGAATCATGTAAAGGTTGTACGAGTCAGTAGAGGACATTGTTCACAGAACATTACCATTTCAATTAGGTCAATATCGGTAACTGGTTTTCAGAATGTCAATATTGTTTTAGAAAGCCTAGTCCCGTGTTTGCCTGACAGGAAATAATGAATTATTTTCTTACCTTCTTATTTTATATTTTCCATCATGTACTGAACACTCATTAACTTTTACTTATTTATGAGAATTGATTTTCACCTTTTCTATATTTATCTTCAGCTTATTTTCCAACCTGAAAATATATTTTTTCCATGATACATGAACAATCACCAGTTATCTGAAGCAGCTCAATGAGGATGTATAATATCCATGACTGGAAGTCTTATATGGGAAGCGTGCAGGTCCACAAATATCACGTCACACCTTTTCACTCTGTCAAACACTTTCAAATGGGTTTTTATTCAAATCAATTGGATGAGAGGTGTATAAATGAAAATGTTTTTAATCAAGGTTACCTTAAACCTGACTTTTATATTAAAGTGGCAATAAGATCGTGCTCCAAATGAGTGAATATGAGCTGCAGCTCTGTTCACCACTGATATTTTCACCTCCAACATCCGGACAAAGGATGGAACGTTTCAACAGATTATCACTTGGCAAACGAGAGAAGTGCTGAACGCTGTCAAACACTGCCCCCTACAGAAATAAACTGTCCTTGCAGCATCACTCTTTCACTCTGACCATTAGAAGAATTGAATCACATTGAAAGCTCCTTATTTTGTCTGATAGATGTAATCTTCAGCCATTTGGCTTTTATATTTCTCTTGATTGCAGCCATTTTGTAGCACAACTTAAACTTGCCAAAAAAGAAAAGAGGAAATTGTAGTCATGAATCATGACCTCAACATGACATTTTACTGGAAATTATGCAAAGTATTCACACATGTAAACAAATGTCAAAAAGGCACATAAAGCATGTTGATGCATAAGCACAATCAACAGAGCAGTTACAAAAACACTGGAATCACACACTAGTACAAAAGTCATGTTAATAAAGCATCTTGTCATCATTAGTTAAAAACATTATGTTAGTTAGGTTTAGTATTACGGGATTATCATCTCGATAAATGAAATTAGTCAAAATATATACAAATTAAAATGTAGATGAACTGTATACTGAATCAAATTTTGATTAACTACTGTAAGTTGTACTCCTGTGGACTCACCACCTGCAGAGGGTCAGTGAGGGGCTGGTGCTATGAGACTTGGGTGGCATCTCTGATTGCCACCCCCCTGACCCAGAAATGGATTAAAGGGTAGAAAATGGATGGATGGATGGATACTGTAAGTTGAAACAAATGTATAAATCATGATGAATCAAATGTTGATATAGTTGCAAAGTGATTCAGTCAATTGAAAGCCAATTACTTTAGTTCGAGATCTAAACCACTAATCAATTAATCAAAATAATGATCTCCCATCTAATCAATAGGTATATTACAGCTATAGTGACCACAGTTAAGAATAAATGACACACAGATAACTTGAAATATATAAATATACAAATGTGCGGAAGATTTACAAAACTAAAAATCTAACAATAAGAATTTACATAAAACAGATGGAGTGAAACTGCTGCTATTTGTCTATTAAAAGCTTGTATTATTAAAAAGCATGTTTATCAGTAAGCTTTGATCATCACAATTCAGGAAAAATACAGCACCAATAGGGCTAAAACAATACCTGGCAGGATCATATTGCAGTGTTCGAGAAGTTGGTCCTGAAGCAACCACCTTTTTCTCTCACACTTTTTAAAAACCATTTGCCTTTATGAATGATCACAGTGACGTTTTTAATGATGTCCTCGGTGGTCAAAATGCTAGTACCGCTTCAAATCCACCGAGCATCCATCCAATTACAGTTTGTCTGTATCCAGCTTCACATGCGGTGCTTTGTCTGCCTCATCTTTCGGCTCAGCAGCAGCGTCCTTGGGTTCCTCATTTTCATCAGTGGGCGGACTCAAAGTGGAGTCTGGTGGGTGTGTGGGCTCCTGCGTCTCTGACCCTGAAAACAGCAGACAAAGAAAACACATATGGTATCCAAGAAACAAGTGACTTTTGATCAAATAATCCACATTTCGTATATATGAAAACCAAAGTAAGTACCATTACATCTTTTCAACGACTCACAGCAGCCAGATAAGTTTGTTTTGTTAGACCTAAGAATGATCAAAAAGGTCAAGGCCAGGAAGAGCCTCCATGAAAAGACAAATGAACCTCTCAGGTCATAAATAAAGAAAATGGGCCTCATGTATGAAAATTGCGCAGAAAAAGGTGTAAATTTTGGGTGTAGATCCCAGATATACGCAAGATCTGACGTGGCATTTATGAACATGCGAGATACGCACAGATCTGAGCGTACGCACCTGCGGCTGTTTATAAATGCCGCGCTCAAAACCAGCGTATTTATGAAAGTCACGCCTATAAATATTCAGAAACTGCCTTTTCCACACCCTGTTTTTGCGACAGGTCAGCAGGAAGTCGGCAAAGAAGCCGCAAAAAGCACGCACTTTTGAGTTTATTCACGTTTAAAAAAAAAAAAATTATATATATATATATATATACGCTATATTATATATATACTTTTTTCTCTAGTGTCTAGACCCACTGCAGCACTCATCTCGCCTAAAATTTCGACGTGAATAAATAAATAATAAATGACCTGAATGAATGAATGAACTATACTGCTGGTGCGCGTCGCATCCTATCTTTGCTCTGCGGAGCATTGCCTGAGACAGTTTTGAGCAAGATCAGGTGCATTTATGGAGCTTTATGCACAAAACTAAGGAAAACCCACATTGCTTTGCCAGAGGGGAATGAGGCAAAACATATGCGTAATTACGTGTACGGCGCAGGGTCTGCCACAGGTTGTTTATGCATATGTAAAAATAAATATACGCCATTTACGCTACGCTATTTATTCAGCTGCGTTTTGAACAAATTTGCAGAAATGTTTTGATAGAAGTGAATAAATAATGAATGAATGAATGAATGAATGAATGAAGGAATTCATATGGTGCAGCGGTGGCTCTAATCAATGAAGCGTCTGCAGCGTCTGGTGAATGCACTGAAGCGCTGTACACTTGCGAGAGCGTTTGCGGTCCAGATTTAACAGAGAAACTCTGGAGCCAAAACTTCTGACTAACAGCATTTGAGGAGTTATGTGGCGCGTCTCTCATGGCACCTGCTGTGGATGCACTCCCAAGAGTGCGCAGCGGGTGGACAGGGCAGTGAGACATTTGGAGTGAGCAATACCATAGTCCATCGGTCCATGCGTTAATGGGGTGTGTGTCTGTGTGAGGCTTACACATATCTAATGAAAACATACATTGCTTTACCAGATGTGAATGAGGAATACAAATAGCCGTGCGTAATTACGCAGCGCAGAGCCTGCCACAGCAATAGCTGGGTCACACATCCCTGTCGCGTAAAGTGTATTTGTATAGAGCCTTTCACTGTCCAGGATCACAAAGCGCTTCACATTTTAAAAACATACAGATCAAAATAATACACACAGAAGTCAGATTTAAAATCATAGAAACAGAAGAGGCTCCTCTTTATGATCTGTCCTTTATTCAAAGTTTACGTGTTTCCAGAGTGTTAGACTTTTTCTGATGCGCAAATTCAAATTCCGAAACATGATGCTCCATGAAAACGCAGCTTATAATGTTGCCAGAGTGGGAACATGTTTATTGTTGTCCAAATCTTGAATTTTATGCGCGTTTTGGCGTGTTTTGACGAAGGGTGAAATGAGCGTACACATTTACACCACCTATTGACTTGGTGTAAATTCTGTGCGTACCGTACGCTCACGTCCAGATTGATAAATGCGGAAAAGTGTAAATTTTTTGCGTACGCATCATTTACACCCTGATTTGGCCGTACGCAAGTTTCATACATGAGGCCCAATGTGAGAACTATGTGTTTATGTCAATGGGGATCATCTTTGAAAGCAGCTGGATGATACTTAAATATCTTCCAGTTCAATTCAAACATTTACAAAAAGTGTCTGCATAAGTTTTCTCCAGGTGTTCCGGTTTCTCCTACTACTAAAACATGTACAATAGGTAAGACCTCCTAATAGTTTTGTTTTATTTATGTACTTGGCTTGAGCACACTGGGGACTTTTGCAAATGTATTCCAATGTGGTTTTACTGAAAATGGCAAATAAATGTATCTGAATCTAAGGTAAGGTAAAATAGCTCACACCAAGCAAATAACAAAATTACTATCATTATAATATTTGTTGTTCTTCTAATAATAGTAACCATTATTGTATACATTTTAAATACAAATATAGGAATAGTGCCTCTCAAAAGTACTAATACACCTGGAACCTTCACATTTTGTCATGTTTACGATAACAAGATTTTATGTAATTTTTTTCTACTTCAAGTTCCCCGACAAATATCAAAGCTGTAACGTGAAAGCAGAAAAGTGGGTCGTGTGCACAACTTTAAAACATTTGTATTGACTGCTGAATGTTCATATCTTGCCCTAACAATTAAATAACCCCGTCTACTATAGGTATCATTACAGCTGACAGTCTGGGGTGGCAGTATCATGTTATGGACTATTTTCCTTGATCAGAAATAGGGAAGAGTGTCAAGTTGATGGGATGCTGGATGGGGAAAAATACTTGACATTATTGGACAAAATGCTTCTGGAGCTGGGTGAAGCCAAATAGTTGTTGTTTTTTTATTGACAACATTATGTATCATTCAGTTTTCACTTCACAGTAAAATAAACTGTTGTGAGTAACATGGCAAAATGTGCAGAAGTTCTGGAACGCAGAACACTTTTGCAAGGCACTGTATATGTTGTAATATGACGAATAAAACCTTGTATAATTGTATAGTTTTATTTTCAGCATTGGATTACCTTAACAGCCTAAATTCTGCAAAAAACGTCAATCTATGTGTAAGTAAGTGTTTTGTTTGTATGCGATTGTACTTTGTGCACTTGTAATCTTAAGAAATGTTAATGTAAAAATAGCATGCATGCATAAAAAGAAATTCAAATTCTACTAAACTGGTTACACCGAGAGCAATGGCAATTTCCTCGTTTGTGACTTCCTGTTACTCACAATGGCAATAAAATAATTGTGATTCTTGTTGACTGATAGCTAAAGAAATAATAAGCAAATAAACCGAACTAATGATCTCCTGCCTTTAAATTGATGCATTTCCTCAATTAAAATAAGCATGCATAAAACCTACAGAAGTGTGACAACATCGGAACACAGCGAGGGTCTATAATAACGAGGTGGATACCTGGAATGCTCGACGTGGCCGCTGGTACCTTCTCTCTCGTCAGTTTTGATTCTTCAGATTCCTTACTGGGCGAGTCCTGTATTTGTGGATCCACGGTGTTTGCGTCCCTTTCTTTATGACTTTTGTCCTTCACACTGCTGGGCTCAGAGGTCAGAGGCTGGTCCTTGTCTGATTCTGGGGGTGGACGGCCATCAAAAGGGGGAGCGAACAAAATAGTATATACAGAAAATAGACTACACAGTTACTTTATCGTTTTCTTATTTATATATTATGCTCTTGTTTTCAGTGGTCTTTCTCAGTGGTTCCAGGGCATCACCTGTTTTACATAATATAATTAATTTGTAATAAATATACTTGATCACCGATTAAACAAACTGGATGCTATTCAGTGGTTTAAGGTTAAACTATTACAGGTATTACAGTATTCATGCAGTTTCAACTTCATACCTGGTTTTTCAGCCTTTTTGGCCAGTCCTGGTTCTTCTTCTGCAGACTTGCTCTCTTCGGGTTCCTTCTGAGGAGCCCTTTCCTCTGTATCCGAGTCTTCACCCCCATCAGGCCTCTGTGTGACCTCAGGTGCAGCTAAACCCTGGTCTGGAGGAGAACTGCTCTGAGCTGAAAGAATAGCACACTGTGACATGGACTGCATACAAAGTTATAAAAGTATTATCCCAAGTTTTATTTTATTTTAATAAATTGGTGCAACACAAACAATATTGCTACTTATCATTGCTTAGAATAGACAAGAAGCAAATAGTGACTAAATAGTGAGTGCATGATTAATAGCACATTAGCTTTCTTACCTGGATACGCTTGTGACATCTCTGGTTCTTTCTCCTTCAAAACCATAGTTTCCTTTTTAGAAAGATCCTTTTGAGGATCAACTTCCACCATGTCTGTGTTTGTTTCTTCATTAGAATCAGTCTGTTCTTTGCTTCCAGATTTAACTGGAAGAACAGAAGCAGCAGTGGACAGAAGAAACTCTGCAATGATTTGGCATGTTCAAGTAAATTGGACGCATACCGTCAGAAGAATAACAGTGATCGAATAAAAAAAGATTATTTGCAAACCTGGCTGTTAATGTAAAAATAGCATGCATACATAAAAATAAATTAAAATTCTACTGGTTACACCGAGAGCAATGGCAATTTCCTCGTTTGTGACTTCCTGTTACTCACAATGGCAATAAAATAATTGTGATTCTTGTTGACTGATAGCTAAAGAAATAATAAGCAAATAAACCGAACTAATGATCTCCTGCCTTTAAATTGATGCATTTCCTCAATTAAAATAAACATGCATAAAACCTACAGAAGTGTGACAACATCGGAACACAGCGAGGGTCTATAATAACGAGGTGGATACCTGGAATGCTCGACGTGGCCGCTGGTACCTTCTCTCTCGTCAGTTTTGATTCTTCAGATTCCTTACTGGGCGAGTCCTGTATTTGTGGTTCCACGGTGTCTGCGTCCCTTTCTTTATGACTTTTGTCCTTCACACTGCTGGGCTCAGAGGTCAGAGGCTGGTCCTTGTCTGATTCTGGGGGTGGACGGCCGTCAAAAGGGGGAGCTAACAAAAGTAGCATAAATAAAATCATAAGATTTTATTTAAGATTTTAACAAGATCATAATTCAATGGACAAACCATAAAAGGAAATGCAGTGCAACACGATTATGAAAGGATTGTGAAAACATAGTAAGAGATAATGATTGATACCTGAGGACGTGTTATCAGCTGGTGAGTTTACTTTATTACTCAGTTCAGATTTGTCATTACTTTCGGTTTCTTTATGATCTGGAGTGACATTTTGGTCTGCATGTGGATTTCCAATACTGTCCGAGTTTGAATCTTCAGCACAGTCAACTTTCTCTTTGTCCTCAGGTTTTGAATCCTGGTCCTGAGAGGAGCTGCTTTCAGCCGGAGCCATTTGTAATAGTGCCTCTGAAACAGAACGAACACAAACACAAGATTCTAAGTGAGGACATACAAGACAAAGACGTACAGTATACGATACCTTTTGAAGTATTACAGGTAGCAACACGTATTATGTATGTTTGTTTATTTATAGTCTTCAGCTTTTCATAATGTAGTCTTTTTACTTTTTTAAATCATGTTTTTTTTCAGGATACTAGTGGTTTAGGGTTAAACTGTTACAGGTATTACAGTATTAATGACATTTCAACTTCATACTTGGTTTTTCAGCCTTTTTGGCCAGTCCTTCTGCACACTCTCTCTTTTTGGGATCCTTCTGTGGAGCCACTCCCTCTGTATCTGAGTCTTCACCCCCATCAGGTCTCTGTGTGACCTCAGGTGCAGCTAAACCCTGGTCTGGAGGAGAACTGCTCTGAGCTGAAAGGGTTGGCTCCATTTTCTTCTGAACTTGATCAGTGTGTGTAGGCTCTGCTTCTGTTGGCAAATGTAACACATTTACATCTCCATTTGCATGCATAGGCGTTGTGCAGTTCCTTAAAGCTGCACTGACTGACTTTATTTTTGTATTAATTACTAAAATGCTATCCATGTCCGTGTAGGGCATTGGGATATACGTCCTTTTGAATAAAAAGTAGTGCAGATTTGTGCTGGCGTGACATTATATTTTAGATCGAGTTTTGATGAAACAAGGAAGAGAATGTGTTTCGGGTCGCAGATTGTGACCAATCACAGCGAACCACTAGCCCCCACTTTCGTGAGAAATCTATAGGTCCGTTAGCATAGACGGCTGAGTTAGCACAACAAGACGAGGAGCTAACCTGAAGCTTCCTCGTCTTCGTCACCGGTTACTGCTTACACAGCGAAACAGCCATCCAAAAGAAAGTCTCGTTCCTCCGCGCTTCCCGGTTCTATCGTTCTATGGTCACGCCATCCACGTGCAAATCCATGTCCATGTATTATCCATATTGAGAGACACTAGCTCCGTCCCAACAGTGGGTGTGTGTGGAGGGCGATAGCTTCGTGGGTGCGGGGAGGGGAGCAGAAAGAGCGAGGCCAGCGGGTCCGCGGCTTCAAAATCCCAAAGTCAGTTAGTGCAGCTTTAATCATCCAACCTTTTCGAGCATCTTGATATTCCTCTGGATCAGTGTGATTAGGGTCTTTATCTGTATTCTGATGATCTTCAGAGTTTAAGTCGGACTCTCCTCCTGTCGCACAGCTGCTTGGAGAAACCTGTTGTGATGTCGCAGGTCCAACATTGCCATTTGTTTGAGCTATTAAAGACACAATACTTTGTTATCTATACACCTCATATTAAAGCAGGAATGGCCAACTATCAAACAACAAAATTTTTTGTGTAATTTTTGTTTATTTAAAATGTTCAGAACTGTATGTAGTTGTACATTTCGCTGGACTTTTTTTTGCTGCCATTCACAATGCCTTCAGTTATTCTTTTTTGAAGCATTTTTTCTGCCATTTTATGTTTTGAAATAATATCTGAAGTTGAAAAATATATGGTGAAAGAAGGATGATGGCCAAACAATGCTTTATGCCTGTACCTCAATACACCAGAGGGAGCAGTTGAGTTTGTTTTGAAAATAACGAAACAAACTTAAGTAATTTTAAAAGTACCTTCTTCAACCTTCTCTCTGTCCTCAGGTTTTGAATCCTGGTCTTGAGAAGAACTGCTCTGGACCGGAGCCTGTGGTGAAAGTGCATCTGAAACAGAACGTACACATTTATACATTCGAACAATATAGATAGGTACTTTATTGTTCCTTGTAATATAAATTCAGGATATACATATATAAATGTATTCAAGAGAAGGACCAATACAGGATTTGCAGTATTTACAGTTATACACATTGTAGTATTCTAAATGAATTACAATAGGATTTCTATGCATTTCATTTCCACTGTTTTTTGGTATCTTTTAACCATGTAGTGCTTCCAAAATGTCCATTCATGATTATTTGTGTTCTTGCTTTTGAAAGTCCCATGGTTCTATGTATTACAAAATAGCATATACACAAAATAGACTACACAGTTACTTTATCGTTTTCTTATTTATATATTATGCTCTTGTTTTCAGTGGTCTTTCTCAGTGGTTCCAGGGCATCACCTGTTTTACATAATATAATTAATTTGTAATCAATCAATCAACTTTATTTGTATGGCGCCTTTCCAACACAAGGCCACTCAAAGCGCCTCACAACCCAGAATAAATAAATAAATATACTTGATCACCGATTAAACAAACTGGATGCTATTCAGTGGTTTAAGGTTAAACTATTACAGGTATTACAGTATTCATGCAGTTTCAACTTCATACCTGGTTTTTCAGCCTTTTTGGCCAGTCCTGGTTCTTCTTCTGCAGACTTGCTCTCTTCGGGTTCCTTCTGAGGAGCCCTTTCCTCTGTATCCGAGTCTTCACCCCCATCAGGCCTCTGTGTGACCTCAGGTGCAGCTAAACCCTGGTCTGGAGGAGAACTGCTCTGAGCTGAAAGAATAGCACACTGTGACATGGACTGCATACAAAGTTATAAAAGTATTATCCCAAGTTTTATTTTATTTTAATAAATTGGTGCAACACAAACAATATTGCTACTTATCATTGTTTAGAATAGACAAGAAGCAAATAGTGACTAAATAGTGAGTGCATGATTAATAGCACATTAGCTTTCTTACCTGGATACGCTTGTGACATCTCTGGTTCTTTCTCCTTCAAAACCATAGTTTCCTTTTTAGAAAGATCCTTTTGAGGATCAACTTCCACCATGTCTGTGTTTGTTTCTTCATTAGCATCAGTCTGTTCTTTGCTTCCAGATTTAACTGGAAGAACAGAAGCAGCAGTGGACTGAAGAAACTCTGCAATAATTTGGCATGTTCAAGTAAATTGGACGCATACCGTCAGAAGAATAACAGTGATCGAATAAAAAAATATTATTTGTAAACCTGGCTGCTTAGAAGCTGTGCCTGTTAAAGTTATATCAGTCTCTTTTCTTTCTTGTTTTGCTTCCACCATTACATCTTGCCCTTTGTTTGTAGATTGTGTATCATCTATTGGAGATGAACAAGATTATGAAAAGTCTATTCACTTCTGAGCTATAATGTTAAACTTTAATAAATTATGGACTGATTACACAAAGTATACATATATAGATATATATCAATCCTATTAGATTTCTTTGTTGATAATAGACTCACAGCTTGTTAATTACATTATTTAGAAGCAAAAGCTTTGCATGTGTCACTTTGGATGCGAGTCAATCTATATCATATATTTGTTTTCAATTTTGAGTTGAACTACAGAAATTAATACACTTTTGAACAAATATACAGGAAGAATGTGTGACACAAACCTTGTTGGTCTCGAGTCCTGGTGGGCTTGTCTGGCTCCACCTTCTTTTGGTTTTCACGATGCTCGTCTGCCTCTGATTCTGCCTGGTCACTGTTCAGCGGCCCCCCTGTTGGCTCCATATTCTGCTGAACTTGATCAGTGTGTGTAGGCTCTGCTTCTGTTGGCAAATGTAACACATTTACATCTCCATTTGCATGCATAGGTGTTGAGCATTTCATTAACCGTCCAACCTTCTTCAGAGTCCTGATCTTCCTCTGGATCAGAGTGATTAGGGTCTGTATCTGTATTCTGATGATCTTCAGAGTTCAAGGCTGACTTTTCTCCTGATGCCATGAGGCCAACTGATGTTTTCGGCACACTGCTGCTTGGAGATGCTGGTCCCACATTTGTTTGACCTATGAACAACGAAATAATGTCATCTATACACCTCATATTACAGCTGGAGGGCCAGACTATCAAACCATTTGTTTGTTTTTTATGTAAAAGGTGCAGTAAGGAATTTGGTTAGCTTAGCCGTAGCACCACCGCGAAACCCTCCTCTCGCCTCTCCACAAAAACCAAACATCCAGAATTTTCTTTTCTTTGTTACAACAGGGAGAGTGGATGGCAAAAGTGAAATTGGAATTTTATATTCATCAGTGAAGGGGGTAAACGCATCCCATTGGCTCATTGGGGATGAACGAATCCTATTGGTTTATTTTTATCAGTCCGCTCCAAAATACTCTTCAGTAATTTTTGGAGACTATAGGCATCTTGTCAATTCCATTACTATTTGAAAACACATGATAACTTGACTACTTTTAGGGTTTAGGGACGCTTTCCCACAATATTATAAAAAATGCGTCTGGGAAAAAAATCACTGACTGCACTGACCTTGAAACCTTAACCCCATGGGACTTCAGATGGAAATGAGCCTTTGGATATAATCTGGCATGTTTACATTCATGTTTCTAGTATGTCTGTTCATTGATATGCACTGTCTCAATCACATAAATAAATAAATAATAAGTCAACCCAACTACCGACAGTTCCCTCGCTCTCATAACAGTCACTGGTTTTCACATGGATGTACATTTTGGCCTCTGTCACATTGTTTTTTGGGTGGGGAGGCCCCCATTCAGCCAGTCAGCTCTCAGTCCAATGTGTCAAATAGTGACTCACAAGGCTCCTTCTTTTCCAATAAGAGTAAGTAAGTAGTATATATATATATATATATATATATATATATATATATATATATATATATATATATATATATATATTCGCCATTACCATATATATATACCATATATATATGGTAATGGCGAACCAACCTGACATTGTGGTGGTAGACAAAGGGCAGAGGACAGCCGTGGTGGTGGACGTGGCAATTCCAAGCGATGGTAACATCCGGAAAAAAGAACATGAAAAATATATATATATATATATATATATATATATATATATATATATTATATATATATATATATATATATATATTATATATATATAAACATACACCGCCTTTCACAGACCAGAGTCACAAATCAGTTTACAATTTTGGGCATTTGTCTCTCACTCCACACAGAGATGGGAGCGAGGTCGCCAGTACAGAAGGCGCATGCCAGATCTATTGTACATGTTTTTGGAGGTAGGGGAAACCGGAGTACCCGTAGGAAACCTACGCAGACACAGGGAGAACATGCAAACTCCACTCTGAAAGGCCCTGTTCCGACCGGGATTCGAACCCAGGACCTTCTTGCGGAGAAGCAAGAGTGCTATCCAATCAGCCACCGTGCCGCCCAAGCAGTGGTCATTGTTAAGAAACAAAAAAGTTAGGTTCTCCAGCTTTAATGGCACATTGTCAGAGGAAATGGGAAGTGGAAAAATAACAAACCTGTATCCGTGTCTGGATGTTCGAATACTTTACGTAATTCCTTGACCTTTCCTTGACCTCCTTCACCTTGAACATTTAGATTTTTCATATTTGTTATCGTCTGCTTGGTCTTTTACCACAATTACCATTACAAATACCTCTCTCTCTTACAGATGACTGCTTAGGGAGCCTTTGCTGTGATGGTATGGTTTCCTGACGATGGAGGTCAGTTTCCAAAAATGGAGCGCGTTCCTCATTATTCTGGGCAGAATCAGCTTGTACAAAAAAAGAACAATAAAAACAAATATTTGGTAAAGAAGTTTTTCCTAAGTCTTAAGAACCTACCTGCAGTGGCCTGTAGCTGTTTTTCCAAGTCGTTATTCTTTCCGTTCATAAAACATGCTAAACGGCATCAAACAACATTATTATGACTCAACATTACCTTGATAAAAAAAAAAAAAAACCATTGTCAACAAATGAACTAGAAGTACCTCGCTTTATTTGATGTCGAAATATGAAAGGAAAAAGGCAAAAAGCCAACAGAATAAGAGAAGCAATGATAATGGGTACAAGTATATCCAGAACTTGAGAAGATTTTTCTGTAAAATAAATGAAGAAATATGAAGCATTTGTTAACAACTGCAACGGTCACCATTTATTATTTAAAAAAATAAATCCAAATTGAAAAAAATATTGCTATACCTAAATTTGTCTAATTATTTCACAAATGACTGTATTGATTCAAATACAATTAAATCAATACATTATGGAATGACAATAGATTTTAAAAAGTAGAAGGGGGGAATCTTGAACCAAATTTGCAGATAGCAAAGAGAGCAAGCAAAAAGTTCCAACTACTGTTACTCACTAGCTCAGCTCACATTTAGGAACAGACTACACTTGTTAGGGGTCCAATATGATTACAAAAATATCAAAAAAACAAAAACATGTATACAGATGCAGATTTTTAAGTCCAAAATGGTGAGTGTGTTACTGAGCTAGTAGTGTACTTTTCAAATGTTCATTAAGAGCTGTTAGGATTAGATAGCAATATGGCCTACGTGCAGGACTCTACAAGGACTCTTCTGATGGTTGACTATGATTTGCACTGTCTCTGTGTGACACGTATGTCTTTCGATGTGTGACGTGACAATGATTATAAACTGTGTACTGCCTTTATTCTGTCTGGGAAAAAGAAACGATTGAAACCACTGGAACTTGAGAGATACTTAAATAAACTTCCAGAGTTTGGCGCACCACGATCCGTCTGTCTGCTTCATTCCTGATGAAGCATTCCTGATGAAATCATAGTCAACCATCAGAAGAGTCCTTGTAGAGTCTTGCACGTAGGCCGTATTGCTATCTGGGCGGCACGGTGGCTGAGTGGTTAGCACTCTCGCCTCTCAGCAAGAAGGTCCTGGGTTCGAATCCCGGCCGGACCAGGGCCTTTCTGAGTGGAGTTTGCATGTTCTCCCCGTGTCTGCGTAGGTTTCCTCCGGGTACTCCGGTTTCCCCTACCACTAAAAATATGTACAATAGTTCTGGCATGCGCCTCCTGTTCGGCGACCCCGCTCCCATCTCTGTGTGGAGTGAGAGACAAGTGCCCAAAAAATAACAATTGTAAACCGCTTTGTGACTCTGGTCTGTGAAAGGCGGTATATAAATAAAGCTTACTTACTTACTTACTATCTAATCCTAACAGAGCAAAAGTGAGTTGGAGAAAAACTTCACCCAGGAGCCTATTAGGCATCAGTGAGTTAGAATGTTCCAATACTACATACGAGCTATAGGAATAACCAGCACTACAGCCACATAAAATCCCACCTGTGTAGCAGTCTTTGGCTGTGAAGACACTGGTCTCTGCGTGCAGGGGGTTATTGGCGGTGCAACTGTATGTGATGTCATCGAGATCGTTGCCCAGAGCAATGGGCAGAACTGGGCCCAGGTGACTCTTTCCCTTCAGGTTCCATTTAAACTTCAGAGCTTCAGGAGTCATGGACTCTGAGGAGCAGGAGAGTGTGGCGCGGACAGCAGTGCTATTACTGCTACTCTCATCATCACTCATCTCACATGTAATCACAGGCTTGGAAACTTTGTCTGTGCAACAAAAAGAATGTAATGTATTAGGTGAAGAATAATGTAATGATGTAACTGGTGGAGATCAAGTTTTCATTCCAACCAAGCAGGAGCACACCAGGCTCTTGCCATTTGGGAGTCCAGTCAGTCTTGCATGTTCAGTTCTACTGACCTAGGACTTTGAGCATATACTGTGAGCGGTACAGCCGGCCCTTGACATTGGCGTCCAGTTCGTATTCTCCACTGTCCTCATATCTCACGTCTGTGATGGTGAGTTGAGCCGTATCCCAGGCCAGCAGGACACGGTCATGATATGGTGCAAATACACGCTCCTCTGCACTGTCAAACGTGATCACTTTTTCCCCATTGTGCTTCCACAGAATGTTATCAGGAGATTTGGTCAGAGCTGGGGTCAGAATGGCCTCTCTGGCCTTCAGGACGTAGTACGGCGACTGACCAGCAACTATGAAAAAAATTACCTTTATTACAAACTTATAATGCATGAAACAAGATAACCATCTTCTGTGTATGGACCATAGACCGTAAGTATGGACATGGAGCTCCCTTTCCAGTGTTCAGATGAAGTGCTCAGAGTAGAGACTGCTCTTATGGCTGAGGTGCACCGAGGAGGGATCAGTTTTGAATGGTTATTGAACGCTAAGTCTGGAGGACTCAGATCAGGCTGGAGGAAGTCTGGAGAGTGGGAAGTCTTGGAGTGGATCGTGGAAGATGCAAAGTCTTATCATTTTAAAAGAAAATACTCAGAAAGACGTTCTCAACATATTAGAAGCTATAGGAACCATAAACCCGTGCTCTAATGGCTTCGAACGTAATAAAGCATGTATTCATAGTGGCTGTATCAGGGAATCCAAGAGCCAAGGACTCCTCCTCCCCCTGAAAAGTGTCCCCAGAATGCTATCTCACAAGAATACTGTTCTCACGCCCACTGAAACCATGTTTATTTTTCTTCACAGTCAACATGCAGTCAACATGCAGTCAACACAGGAAAACTCCAAAACTCACCCAAAGTGAACGTCAGCATGAAGCAGACGTAGAAGCGCAGCGTAGCCATGGCGCACGGTCTGAAGAAGCGACGCACCAAACTTTGACCCACATTAGTTTCGATACTCGCATTTACATCTAGGCAAAAGGACAGTAACTACAACATGTTCGCTATCACCTTTACTTGTCACGGCGAGGTTCAGAGATGGTCGAAGAATGGATGAAAGTATAGGGCAACTCAAGCCGTTCCAAACGTCCGCGTGCGTAAAGGTTCGTGTGGTTCGTACACCTGCAGCACTGAGCACCTGTCTTCCGGTGTGCGCGCGCTCACTGCACTGTGCCCTTTGGAGCAGCTGTCAGAGTGTACAGAGGGTGGGATTTGTTTAGGACAACACTAAAGCAATGAAAGCTGGGACAAGAGCTGATACACGTATGTGCTTTATGATTTTAATGGCACAATATTCTATGTTGGGAAATTGTACAATTAACTTGGCAATGCATTAAAGCTGGGGTGCCTAACTTTTAAATAAAAAAAATAAAAATAAAATCGAAGCATGCCATTTTGGATCAACCTTTTGAGAAGGCCACCCTCACCCCTAACTCTCAGCCCAAAGTATCAACAATAGACAGGGCTTTTTATTTAAAAGGTGTACTTTCACAAGACTCTTTCAGCAGGGTCAAACAAAATGTTGTATTAGTGAGAAAATAATAAATTAACATGACAATATCAATGCACCAATTGAAATGATTGTAGGTGAATTGAGGCTATAATGAATAATAACAACCCAAAATGTATGCACAGATTAGCTGTGTTTGTTCTGTCATAAATGTCAACAACAACAATAATAATAATACATTTTATTAATACTGCAACTTACATTTCAAAGAGCTACAGATTAAAATACAATTCAACATACAATAAACAAAATACATCAAAATTACAAAGTAGTTAGAAATATAAAAATAAACATGAAATAGTTAAATTTCCTGTCTGTTTAAAAAGGAATGTTTTTAGGACTCGTTTAAAGGCCTCCACCTGATATAAAAATCAAACACATATCATAAGAACATAAATACTTAAAGAGTGCATACAATTGTTCAGCCGTATGCATAGCTACACCGAAGAGTTTTAAGCCTGGATTGTCACCCCTTGATCTCTGCCGGAACTGGGGTGATCCTGTGTATATGTGTGTAGGACTTCATGAGGGTGACGCTGCCGTGGTGGGACACTCCTATGGGTAACACACACTCCTCAGTCAGCAGCCCTTTGCTCACATCCCAGCACATCACCGTGGAGATGACCTGGTTCTTGTTGTCTCTGCCGCCGGTGATGAAGATCTTGTTGTTGCATGCTGTGATGGCACAGCTGGCCCGCTCCCCGAGCCGAGTGACCAGAGACCAGCAGTCTGACTCCGGGCAGTAGCAGAACATGGCATGCATCGCACCTCCTGGACACGGGCAGAGGAAACATACACTGTGGTTTACGCAAATGGTTTATCTGCGGTGTTTTTGTTCCACTACTGTCAAATTATAGAAGCCAAATGAAAATGAATTCAAAAAGGACCCAGCAGTTTCATGAATTGCAAAATCTTTAGACATATCTTGAAACATTAGTCCCTTAATCAGTTAATGGTTTCTTAATCAACTTAGTCTCAGTCTAATAGTAGACTTATTATTCTAATTTCAGTTAATTATTATGTATAGCCCTAATTCACAACAGCAGTCATTTTGCCCAACAAATTAGAGAATCACACAGGAAATTCAATAATAAACTAGGCACATAGTCAGTAGGCACATGGAGTAGCAGCATGAGCAATGTCTGTAAATGTTCATAAGTTTCATTAAATTAATTCTAATGGAAAAATGAAAACTTCCCAAAAGCATATCAATACATTATTAATTGTGTTGATGTTTGTTGTTGTTGTTTTTCTGTGATTTTGTGCCTAAAGAGTACAGTTTTGGTCACATACAGTGCATAATACATATTTTTTAGATCTATTGCTGCGACCAAATTGTACAGCCCTAATTTTGAGTCTATTTCGTCTAATCTTACAATACTAGCTTATACAAAATTTATCCGTTCTTACCCACTATGTAGATGCAGTCCCTGAACGTGACCGCATTAGTGCACTTGGTCTCCACTGGTATGGGAGCTCTGGTCTCCCAACTGTTTGTCCCGGGTTGCCAGCACTGGACTTTATCTGTAGCCAGTTTTCCATTTGGACCCCCACCAATTACATAAATCCACCGATCAAAACTGGCAGCCGCAAAAGAGCTTACCCCCTCAGCAAGAGGAGTGACCTGTTGAACGTGATAAGATTACGTTATGTTGCTTGTTTATGGCCCTACTATAAGCATGTGGTTAAGTTAAAGCTGGGGTACCTAACTTTCAAACCACAACAAAAAAACTACTACAATCCATGTAACTACAGTATTGCCTGGCTCTATTACTGTTTGGTCTCACGTGCATGTATTTTTGGCATTCGTCAAAGCTTTTGCAGGCAGAATAGTGAAACTCAACACTCAATAAATCCGCTCTTGGTCCATAGCATCAAATAATAACTCACAGGGCCATTTCTTGCAAGTATGCAAATGATAAAATGTGTTTTATTGAGGCGAACATGCTGTGGTCTGGTTGGTTCACAACATTTTACTGTTACAGACTCTTTCTGTTGGACAAACTACATTTTATTCATCGTACCAAAAAAGTTAGGTACCCCAGCTTTAATAGATATGCTTCAACATTTAAACTAATGTTCACAAACAGGAAGCAATGAATTTAATTTTAGTGCGCAATAAATCTGCTTTTAGATATTTGAGCTTGGTAATGCCATTGTCTCTGTCCTATACAATCAGCATGCCAAAAACAGAGACCCGTAGATTTCAATTGATGTCCATTTGTACCTGTGTCCAGCGATTATGAAAGGGGTCATAGGCTTCGATACTAGACAGTCTTTGGCTTCCATCAAAACCCCCGATGGCATAGACTTTGCCCTGGTGAACGGCCATCTTGTGTCTCCAGCGGGCTATTGACAGCGACTCAATCTTTATCCATTTATCGAGGGCCCCGTTATATTTCCAAACGTCATTCTGTGTCTCCTTACCTCCTAAAAGGAAACAATACATTGAAAGCCACTATTTATTTCGGAACAATGATGTGATGAAAGCTCTGAGTATGAAGCACAAGAGCTAATCTAAATCAATAGTGTACTTTCTCTGGGTGAGCAAACACGAAGGAAAGCGGCAGTTCCTGAGACGGGAAGCACCTTAAACCACACATGTACAGGACTGGACACGCCAATGTTTTGATGGAACCGATTGTATCACTAACATCTTCATAATTAGCTGCAGAGACAAGACAGGGCATGTATTTTCTCGTTTTACATATCTGAGTAGATATTTTTGGGCTGTCTACTCCTCTAACTACTTTGTCACTTTCTTGTCTAACTGGTGTGGCATGGTATGGTAAGCTTAAGGCATACACCGACTAATATAATATATGCATTCTACATTGCAAGAAATAATTAATTACAAAAATAATGTAATACCTTTAATACATTAAACTAGAAACTTGCAATGGCTGAAGCCATTGCGATTGACTGCGGAACAGATCTAATGTGGAATTTAGCTGAAAAATCCTTGAAATCCTTGAAACTGTTAAAATACTTTAAACATCTTTGAAACTCCTGAAGTATTTGAAGCTCCTGATATCCTTTAAACTGTTATCCTTTATACTGGTTTACATGTAAAAACCCCTATTAAGTTGCATTATACTGGTTTACATGGAAAAATCCCCATTAAGTTGCATTATACTGGTTTACATGTAAAAAACCCTATTAAGTTGCATTATACTGGTTTACATGGAAAAATCCCTATTAAGTTGCATTATACTGGTTTACATGTAAAAATCCCTATTAAGTTGCATTATACTGGTTTACATGTAAAAACCCCTATTAAGTTCCATTATACTGGTTTACATGTAAAAACCCCTATTAAGTTCCATTATACTGGTTTACATGTAAAAAACCCTATTAAGTTCCATTATACTGGTTTACATGTAAAAAAAACCCTATTAAGTTGCATTATACTGGTTTACATGTAAAAACCCATATTAAGATGCATTATACTGGTTTACATGGAAAAATCCCCATTAAGTTGCATTATACTGGTTTACATGAAAAAAACCCTATTAAGTGGCATTATACTGGTTTACATGAAAAAAACCCTATTAAGTTGCATTATACTGGTTTACATGGAAAAATCCCTATTAAGTTGCATTATACTGGTTTACATGGAAAAATCCCTATTAAGTTGCATTATACTGGTTTACATGGAAAAAACCCTATTAAGTTGCATTATACTGGTTTACATGTAAAAACCCCTATTAAGTTGCATTATACTGGTTTACATGGAAAAATCCCCATTAAGTTGCATTATACTGGTTTACATGTAAAAACCCCTATTAAGTTGCATTATACTGGTTTACATGGAAAAATCCCTATTAGGTTGCATGATTACACTGAAGTCCTTGAAACTGGTGAAGTCCTTGAAACTGTTGAAGTCCTTGAAACTGTTGAAGTCCTTGAAACTCTTGAAACCTTGAAACTGCTGAAGTCCTTGAAACTGTTGAATCATTGAAACTGTTGAATCATTGAAACTGTAGAAATGTCTGAAAGAGCTGAAGTCCTATTAAAATGCATGGGCCTATTAAAATGCATTGCAGAATTCTCAATGCAAATTAATGGCAGAATTCCCAAGTCCCGTAGAAAAAAACTGGAAAACTGCAGAACTCTATTTTTTTCTGAAAACTCACAAGTTGTGGAAGCTGAACATGCACAAACTGCAGAAAATGCTGAAAATGTTGAAGAAAATTCTGAAAACTATGAATTTGTGGAAGCCCCATTATAAGTCAATGGGAAAAATCGACCGATTTTTGTCCGATTGCGGAAAAACCGGAAATCGCTGAAGTCCCAAAAGTAATAGCAATAATCTCCCAAACATGTGGAACGTTTTGATGTATAACTTGTGGAAATTGTTGAAAATGTGAAAGCTGTGAAACGTGTCAAAAATCAGGAAAAAGACGGAATAAAGAAAACCAAAACCAATGGTTGACTGCGGAAGGTTCCGCAGTCAATCAATGAATTACATAACAAAAATATATTCAGACTGTACTAAGAGGATATAATTGATTGACTGCGGAACCTTCCGCAGTCAACCATTGGTTTTGTATTTCTTTATTCCGTCATTTTTTTTGACACGTTTCACAGCTTTCACATTTTCAACAATTTCCACAAGTTATACATCAAAACGTTCCACATGTTTGGGAGATTATTGCTATTACTTTTGGGACTTCAGCGATTTCCGGTTTTTCCGCAATCCGACAAAAATCTGCATTGAGAATTCTGCAATGCATTTTAATAGGCCCATGCATTTTAATAGGACTTCAGCTCTTTCAGACATTTCTACAGTTTCAATGATTCAACAGTTTCAAGGATTCAACAGTTTCAAGGATTTCAGCAGTTTCAAGATTTCAAGAGTTTCAAGGACTTCAACAGTTTCAAGGACTTCAGCAGTTTCAAGGACTTCAGCAGTTTCAAGGACTTCAGCAGTTTCAAGGACTTCAGTGTAATCATGCAACCTAATAGGGATTTTTCCATGTAAACCAGTATAATGCAACTTAATAGGGATTTTTCCATGTAAACCAGTATAATGCAACTTAATAGGGTTTTTTCATGTAAACCAGTATAATGCAACTTAATAGGGTTTTTTTTCATGTAAACCAGTATAATGCAACTTAATGGGGATTTTTCCATGTAAACCAGTATAATGCAACTTAATAGGGGTTTTTACATGTAAACCAGTATAATGCAACTTAATAGGGATTTTTCCATGTAAACCAGTATAATGCAACTTAATAGGGATTTTTCCATGTAAACCAGTATAATGCAACTTAATAGGGATTTTTCCATGTAAACCAGTATAATGCAACTTAATAGGGATTTTTCCATGTAAACCAGTATAATGCAACTTAATAGGGATTTTTCCATGTAAACCAGTATAATGCAACTTAATAGGGGTTTTTACATGTAAACCAGTATAATGCAACTTAATAGGGTTTTTTACATGTAAACCAGTATTATGCAACTTAATAGGGATTTTTCCATGTAAACCAGTATAATGCAACTTAATAGGGTTTTTTTTTCATGTAAACCAGTATAATGCAACTTAATGGGGATTTTTCCATGTAAACCAGTATAATGCAACTTAATAGGGGTTTTTTTACATGTAAACCAGTATAATGCAACTTAATAGGGATTTTTCCATGTAAACCAGTATAATGCAACTTAATAGGGTTTTTTCATGTAAACCAGTATAATGCAACTTAATAGGGTTTTTTTTCATGTAAACCAGTATAATGCAACTTAATGGGGATTTTTCCATTGTTGGAATATTAACTCCTGCACCAGTTAAAAACTAAAATCAGTTTAGTATTGTTTCTGTTGCCAAATTAGCACTTGTTTGTGTAAATCTCAAAGAGCAGTGAGTTCAAGGTTAGTCTGAAATGGGAGGGGGACAAGAGGGAGACAAGTGTTATCAGAGCAGGTGCAAACGTTGGCAGCTGGCCAGAAGGAGTCGTGGAGTCCATACAGTTGTGATGTCATTGACCTTGGATGTAAAGTATAAATGTATGTGCAGGAGTGGTCACGAGAGACTTTTTGCTTTTTTCGTCTGACAAGGAGCAGTGAGACGTCCCCGGGGGCCACTCCTTATCTGAACGCGAAGCGAGATCTGTTCGCGGACCGTTATCTTGTAATATTGCTTGCAAAATCTTCAATATAACCTTTTTGAAATCAGGTTTGGTATCTGTCATTTCTATCACTGTTTTAACATTGGTTTTTGTCTCTTGTTGAACTAAAAGGACCTGCAGAACGAAGGGCTGTGTTTGCGGCCTCTCTGCAGCTTCTGGGGCGGGGGAATTCTGACAAATTACTGCAGAACTTGGCGTCGCTCGAACAGGATTTCGACAGGAGACACTAGGACCGGTCAGAGAAAAGATTAATTTGGCGCCAAAGTAAAACGGTAAGATTGTTACCAACTAATTAATCTTTCCTTTCACCTGACCTGAGACCTAAAAATAAAAAATAAAAACAAACAAACACCAAGTAGGGTAAATATTGAAGGATTTGCAAGTATTTTATATTTTATTGGGATAATAGTATTCTAAGTCTAAGTGACGTAAGAAAAGGAGAAAACTGTGTGTTTTATCTCAGTGATTGATAGTTAACCTAAAGGAAAGAAAACTGTGTGTGAGGATCTAAGTGATTTATGAGTTAAGGAGTCAACTGTGTGTTATCTCAGTGATTTAATAGTTGAAGGAGAAAACTGTGTGTTTTAATTAATTGACAATAAGGGAAAGGACAGGGACAGTGTCTAACTTTTCTCACTTTTTAATTTTTCTCTTGGTGTGAATGAGTGATTGATGTTTTCTGTTGAAAGTGACCATTGCACAAACGGTCACAGTGAACGCAGTAACTTGGGTCGCGTAGGACGGGGTCACGATTCGTGCGTACATTTCCCCACCACTTGTGGTTGAACGGGGAGATACCACGATCTGACGCTCTAAGATTACGCACCCAATTGCTGATTTTTTACATTGATATTGATAACACAAGGCTTGTAATCTAGACGGTAGAAAACATGGCATCTGTAACATTAGATGAGTGGATAAAGGGGATTATGATATTCTAATCTCAGGAGTATCTGAAGAGGCATGTACAGAAATCACTATGAAAGTACTTAGAGTAGTGGCAGAAAAGGGATTCAAAATTGATTATGACAAGTGTGCATTTGTAAGACAGAGAGTATCGTTTCTAAAGACTTATCTCACTTCAGAAGGAGTCATGTGTGACCAGTCAAGACTGATCAAACTATCAGAGTTTCCCAAACCAAAAACAGTGAGAGAAATGATGTCCTTCATAAATACGGCAAGCTATATCAGGAAATATATTTTCAACTTCTCCTACATGATGAAGCCCTTGCAGAAAATGTTGATTGATGTAGGCTACACAGATTATGATGGGATCTTGACATGGACTGAGGAGCAAGCACAGGCATTTCATCATCCATCCATCCACATCATTTTCTACCCTTAATCCATTCTGGTCAGGGGGTGGCAGTCAGAGATACCACCAGAGCAAAGCCCCTCACTATCAAGGTGGTGTCCACGGAGACTGAGTTACAGCCTGCAGTGGGGCTTTTGGGCAAAGTGGGGTTAAGTGTCTTGCCCAAGGACAGCAGTATCAGTGGGAGTCCAATTGAACCACGATGATGGAGGCCAATGCTCTACCAACTGACTGGAGATTTCAATCAATTATCATGGTGCAGCACTGCGTTGTAGGTTGTTGGAAATCTGGAGAAAATGCAGTGTGTTTCAGCAGCAGATGCACCCAAAATATTGTACATATTCAGCTCCAATCTCAGAGGATCAGAAGCACACCACTTCTCATGTGCACGTTATGTAATGGCCCTTAACACTAGGAGCGCCCCTAGCGGTCAACTGACCGTCACTCACTTTATTATGCTAATTAGTGTATTCAAAACAAAACGCCAGAAGTTGAAATTTTATGACTTTTACTGGGTACTTGTGGTTTATATTTTGGTGTGTTTTGGTTTTGGAAAAAGTAAAGAAAACAAGATTTACACGCATTTTTAACTTTTCTAAACCACAGCCCTTTCTGCTGCCCCATAGAGATACATGGCGCAGGGGCGACTGTTGTCATAGTAACCTTTCCCGGGGGTTTTTCGCGCCTTATAAAAATGTATCAATATGTTGTCATTAGACTCTAAAGGGACTTTTTTATTATTATTTGGGAGAGAGAGGAGTACAAAATGAATAGAGCTGCAAGTACACGGTATGAAGCCCTGACAGTGCTTCAAAACATTGAATGAGAACAGTCTGACGGAGGTGAGATGTCACATTTTGAGGCAGAAAGTGACAGCGGGGAGAACACCTATAATATTCTAAATCTGAACGTAAACCCATAGTGCATTCACGGCACAGACAGCAGTGTTGTAACAAGTCCAGAAGCAATAACTCACATGACCCTCGTAATGCCAGCCATATGCAGTGTCTGTGTGCGCGCTGTTGCTCCATTCTGCCTTTTCATTCATCATCAATTACATTATTATATTTATACATACAAGAAGGCAATAAAGCAGAATACAATATCGCAATAAAATAGAACAATTAGATGAACTATCAAGGCAGAGTGCAGATCAGAGTGCTCGTCACCCGCGGACACTGCAGGAGGAGAGCGACTGTGGCAGAGGCGGCCCTCATATATCAATAAGGATATAATTCTGATTTCATCCAGATAACACTGTGTGTTATTCTGCACAGCGCGCACTGCAAGGCAATGATTATAATTTTGTTCTGAGCATAAAGAGCACTGCTTGTCTCAAATAAATACAAATATATATATGCATATATTTGTCTTTCTAACGTGTCCCGTGTAAAATTGAAGATTTTAAATTGACGATGGTAGCCATAGCTGATGATCTTGTGTCAATACGAATACTATTATTATTATCTAGATAATATTTCCCACGGTGATTTCGGCCTCTAAAGAGAAAACAGTCTGGAGATGACGTAAGAAGTAGACGCATATAGCAGCGCGAAGACGTTATGGTCCCGTGCTTTTCTAAACTATAATTTATATTGTTTGAATTTACATATTGTTACTGAGTCAAATATAACATATAGTGACCAACCTTTTAGGTGTTTGCAAAGTTACAAAAATAAATCTAGCCAGAAAAGTCATCGTAATTTTGATGGATCAGTACACGCACAATGTGTCGTCTTAGTCTTTTATTTCGGCTAGAATTACAATTACTTAGCATATTTAGACAAATAATTTACACAGTTTCATTATGATCACGATTCCTTTGCAACATCAAGTTCTGGTTTAGTGAACAATCAATTTGGCAAAAGGCTGTATCAGCGCAAAATACATAGCGGTCAACTGACCGCAGGGGGCGGTGCAAGGTATGTTTAGAGCACGGCGGTCCTAGTGTTAAGAACTCACTGGTTTCCACATCACACATAATCTTGGACTCAGAGGTTATTGTGAGAACGCCACATAACATGTATGCAGCTTTGAAGGGGAACACATTTGCATTGACAAATTCAATGTCTCAAAAGATTCATCTGTTACTCGTAAATATGCAAGTTACATTTGAACCAACAGACTCTCCAATATTACCATTTACTATCTCAGGCCCAGTTCACCAGTGTGAGGTCCAACATAGTGAAGAAACAAACTTGATCAAAAAGTTGGGCAGGTCAGAGATTGAGGGGTCACATGCTATTTTTATAGATGGACACTCGCATAGAGACAAAACTGGAGCATTGGTTGCAAGCGCAGCAGCAGTCATCCATGACAGGGAAACATCACCTGTTACCAATCCTGATTTTAACATACTGAAGGCAGAGGCGCTGGCAGGGAAGTCAGCTCAGTATGCAGAATTAGAAGCATTTAGCCTGGCTTTGGAGAACAGGCCAGAAGGACCTATCACAATATATACTGACTCTGAGTATGTGCATTCTACAGTGCATTTGCACTTGCCAATCTGGGTATTGCATGACAATTTCATCACAACAAAAAATTTGAGACCTACACATTTGGAATTGTGGCAGAAGGTGGCAGATCAAATCAAGAATGTACGTCACAAAACTGCATTGGTCAAGTGCAGAGCACATACTCGAGCCAGAGACTTTGTGGCAAAGGGCAATGAGTTTGCTGATAGAGTTGCTAAAATGACAGCTGGGTATGACAGGATAGGTATGGCTCTGCAGGCAGTTATTGAAGACAATCCTGAGGGAACAGAGGAACCAGTGGAAGAAAGGGAAGAGTACAGTCCACACATATTGCAAGAAAATCCCTCACTGTATGATGTGACAGCATGGAAAACTGCAGGGGCCATTAAAAACAGTGAAGGAGTATTCTATGATACATTTGGTAAACCGTGCGTGACTACTAAAAAACTACTACAGATCATTCAAAGTAAGCATGAGGAAACACACATAAAGTGCTCAAAACTTTTTTCAGAACTAAGACGGCACATGTTCCATCCTTTTATGCTACCAACCATCCAGCATCTATGTGACTCATGTGACATATGTCAAGGGCTCTCTAAGGCAAGGGCTGTGAAGGCAGGCATAGGAGCATACCCAGTGCCTCCATGGCCCATGGCAGAAATCGTAATTGATTTCATCGACATGACTGCTGATAAGAAAGCGGATGGGTGTAGATACGTGCTCACAATGATTGACCCACTCACACGATGGCCTGAAGCTTTTCCTTTGGCAAAAGCAAATGCAGAATCAGTAGCCAAAGTATTCTTGACAGAGATCTTTCCAAGGTAACGGCCCAGCGAGAGTTATCAGATCTGATAACGGCTCGCATTTTAAGAACCAGACAATGACCCAACTATGTGAGAGGCTGAATATAAAACAGCATTTTGGAGCAGTGTTACACCCGCAATCACAAGGGGTGATTGAAAGGTTCAACCAGACAGCTTCCTCATGAACTGTGTGAATAGCCAGGTCAAAGCTGCTCTGTGTGGTCCTGTGCAGCTGCAGCCTCTGCTGACGGTGCCGGAGAGCCTTGTGTACAGGGTATGAAAGTCTTCCCGTGTGATCAAGCTCCACCATAGGCATGTTACTAATGGAACCGCTGTGATCAGAGAAGAGCCAAATGACTCTGTAGAAAACAGAAGGACTGTCCATGGCAGAGGTCAGGTTACAGCCCAGCAGTACATCATCTCCTTCCTTTACATTCAAAGCAGGTGTTGTAGTATTCAAATGAAGATCACTGGCTACAACAACAAACCCAATGAAAGTTTGGTCAATAGTGACAGCTGTATGACGGCTGTATGACAGCTGTATATCTGAGATGTTTTACTCACCAGGTTCAATAACAGTCAGCTGTGTGCTTTTGGACACAGCAGGGAACTGGTACCACTCTCTGCTAGAGTCCTGTCTCCACTGCACCACCGTGCACATGTACACTCCGCTGTCAGAGGAGCGGGCATTACGGATGGTCAGAATAAAGCTGGGGCCTTCAGTCCGGCTCACGCTGAGACGCTGCCTCTGATTCAGCTCCAGATTAGGTCCAAATGTCACAAAGGCATCCTGGTCTGATTTAATGATAGTCTTATTTTCTGTTGCTTGCCTTAGGAACCAGGTGACATCATAGCGAGACAACACATGACTATTTGAGGAAACAGAACATTTAAGATCTATATCTGAGTTAATATTTACTCTGATGGATGGTACCGAAGTCAGAGTTAAATCACTCACTGTAAAAGAAAGAGAAACAATACAAGGTGAGATAGACAAAAACTTAGGGACGTTAGGGATAAATCATCTGAATGGCTTTAGTACCGGGGCTCTCCACATTAACAGCCAGCTCAGAGGCAGACAGCTTTCTCTGTGTCTTTTCAAGGATCACAGAAACACTGCACTGATAGTTTCCAGCATCTCTTTTACTGGCACTATTCACAATCAGGTGGTACCATGTTTCATTTGGTTTGTTTTTGTTGTCTATTTTCAGCTGGTATCGTTGTTGGTCTCCAAACCAGCTGATAGCCCCACTGGAGTACAGCGTGAGAATGCTGTCCGGAGTTGTTGAGTCTCCACGGCGGAAACTCCAGGCCAAAGTACGAGGCAGGTTCAAACTTCTGACACGACAGATCAACTCCACCTGCTGTCCTTCTGCTGCATTGTGGTTACGGCCAATTAGAAACACCCTTGCCACCGCCTCTGCAACACCACACACAGACGTTACTCTATTTGCAACAAACCAAATATCTGTTCTGTTCCAAAAGATGAAAACTATTCTGCACCTAGAGGCCTGACAGTCACATGGGCTGTTGCCTCTTGGCTGCTGGACTTGGTGTTAGATATCCATTCTGACACCTCACACTGGTAATGGCCAGAGGCGGCCTGTGTGGCCTCTTCCAGCTGCAGAGTGAAGAGGTCTGGGGCAGGGCGCAGTGCTGTTGCCCTCACATCCTCACGGCCTTCAGCTTTGCTCATGACCCCGTCTCTGTTCAGACTGACCACACTGGTGAAGGGGGCATTGGCTGAGTCTGACTTGTGCTGCCAGGTCACAGACAGCTGACCAGTCACTCCGGACACTCGGCAGGACAGCTCCAGCTTGTGCCCTTCATCCACACGCACGCTGTTGGCCAAGTCAACTGAGAGGGAGCTTTCTGCAAGAACAGAAATGCATAGTTTATGAGATGAAAGTTATTTTTCTGTAGATTCATTTTGTAGCACTAAACGGAAACCAAGTAAAATTTACAGTGACTGGTAATATCAAGGGGTTAGACCGGTTAAAGCCATTTGGAACACTACAGACACAAGTCAACACATTGAAAATACATAAAGCTTGGGTACCTAACCTCGTTAACAATCCATGTTGTTTGTCCCAACACAAAGGGTCTTGTAAAAATGTGTCCATACTGTCTTCATCTGATTTGAAAATATGTTATTTTTGCATATTGGTAAGATCAACGCATCCCTATTTGACACTTTGGTCTGAGAGCTGATTAGCTGAGTGAGGGGGGTCCTTTATTTTTCAATTTAGAGTCTGAAAAAGCAAATCAATATGACCAAAAATTCCCTAAATAAAATCCATGTATGTGAAAACTAACACTAAACAGTTTTGAGAAATATAAGAAAGGAACAAGTTACATGGATTTTAAAATACATCATTTTTGTGTGGTTTGAAAGTTAGGTACCCCAGCTTTAAATAACTGTACAAGCAACAATACACTTTATCTACAAGTGTTTCATTGCGCGTAACTTTTCTGCTTAGCCCAGCCTTCTGGAAAATGTCATTGCAGGGCTTTGCAGAGGATGGGTTTAGGCTCTGAGATAAAGCAGGCCATTCACTGACCTGCCGCTGCGATAGTGACAGTTTGGGGTGTGGAGTCCTTGGCTGCAGCCTGTACAAAATCCCCAGTGCTGCTCCACTCGTCAGGCCAAGCTCTGCACACAAACTCTCCCTGATCACTGGTCCTGACATGCCGAAGAATCAAATTATAATCCCTCCTCCCAACCCTGGCCGCCCACAGCTCTCCGTCTCTCTCTCGGCTGCTGTAATCTGGGCCCACCGTGAGGACTCCGAGGGGGTTGATCCGTGCAACCTCCACTCCTCCACGCAGCCACGCCACGGAGAAGAAGTTGAGATTCGAGGAGTCCACGGAACAGGACACAGAGAGCTGCTGGCCCTCCTGCAGAGAAGATTGTGCCACGGAGATTCCCACCTCCAGAGATGAAGTGTCAGACAGCACTTCTGCAAAATGAAGAAACCACAATCAAAACACAATCGTATGTGCAGACATCCTGTTGAGAAAGCGAGGTTATTGTGGCACGCTGATTCACATGAGAACCCCTCTGAATTAAAAGTTTCATTGCACTACCTTTTGAAATAACAAAAATTATAAGCATTTTTCATGGGCTCATTTGAATATTATCATCCTTTTAAATGACTCCAAATGCACTTGTTTGTGATGTGGATATATACACATACAAAGTAGTAGGACGAAGGTAATATTTTATTCTGGAGATTTAAAGCTGGAGTACCTAACTTTTTAACCTCTACGAATTTAACAATTGTTTTAGTCATTTTATCCTAATACCTCCCAGTACAGACCTGTATGAGTTTTCTGCTGCTGGACACCTGCATTTCTCCTACGGGGATCAATAAAGTATCTATCTATCAAAATAAGTTTTTTTCTATCACTAGTTTTCAAGTGCATGCATTTTTGTCCTCTTTCAACTTTTTCAAAAAAGAAAAGAAGAGAACCACCTGACTCAGCCAATCATCTCTCAGTCCAAAGTGTCAAATAGTGACTTACAGAGCTCTTATATGAAAGTATGAAAACAATAACATGTTTTCTCATGTCAATGAGGTCAGCTTGTTGTGGTCATGTGTCATGTAGTTCGGCGTTTCGACAAGATTTTGTAACTCATATACTGTTTTAGAAATTGTGTCTTGCCCAGGGGCGCAAATATCGCACTGCCTCAAGTTTATACTACTGTAGCTTTGTATAGTATATAGAACTACACTTTTTATGCATGTTTAGAAGAAACTAACTGTCAAAACGGAACACTACCTTTGGCTTTCACTGTGAGGCTTGTCTCTGTTGCTGATGTGGATGCGATGGAGTACCAAGTCCGGTCGGGGTCCTGTATCCACTCCTGAGCCTCACAGAACACTTGGCCTTGATCTGAGAGCTTCAAGCTGGACACGCTAAGCCGGTATGTCACCTCTCCGATTTTATCTAACCTGATCAGTCCTGCTTTGTATCGCTCCTCTAAGTCCTGCCCTGGAATCAATACAAAATCTCTGTCCATTGAGATAAGGGGGCGAGAGACATTTTCGCTATTTCTTCGGAGGAACCAGCCAAAGGACAAATGCGTGTGTTGGATCGTGCTGCTGGACACTTCGCAGGATAACTCCAAACCGTCTCCTTCTGTTTGGGTAAGAGAAGCCGGAGCTGATGATGCGACGGTTAAGGAGTTGTCGATCACTGAAAAATCCAAAATAGAAATTTATGTTTAAAAGGAAACTCATCATGCTTTACATCAAATTATTGCATGGCATGTAATAATGGCCGAGCTTACCTTTGACTGTGGTCATTGCACTGTACGTCCCATAGAAGGTTCCTTTGGTATTCACGACAGCGCACTCATATTCCCCTTCATCGCTCTTCTGAAGGCGCAGGATTTCAAAGACCACTGAATTTGGGTCTGTATATCTGACCAAGATCTCCCCAGTCTTCACACGTGCCATATATTGTGAATAGGAAAAATCTTGGGATTCAGTGCTAATAATATTTAATTCAAAGTTTGGGTTGGTGGACTTCTTGACTCGAAACTCAAAATTGTTGTTGGCGTCAGAGAGAGGAGGAAGGCCGCTCACACTGCAGGAGATGGAGAGCTTGGAGCCCTCGACCCGATACAAGGGCCCGGCCTGAGCCACCGTCTGCACTCTGTCCCCTCCTGAGAGCAGCACTGCCGGCACACATTCATTTGTCACATGAGCTTATGCTAGTCTACTTGAAGACCTGACCTTAAACACTCTACTTCTAACAGAAGAACAGAGAATTATTCTATGTGTTTGACACTGAGTAGCTTTCTGCAAGTGGATAAACTACATTTATATAGTTGTTACAAGGAACTCATACTGTGGAAGATTGTGGGTTAGGGTTTTTATTGTGTGGAGATATTTACAGTCTATGGTGGAGATGCAAGCTCGCTCACAATAAGGGAGCTTTTGTTTATATTTGCTGCCCTCATTATAAACTAAAAACAGTTTAATAATAATTTTAAAAAAATTAATGAAAAGAATGAAGTTACAAATTGAAATGTTAATTTTTTGAGGCAGGAATTACCCTCAAGCACACAGGGAGGTACTTTGTTATGTAAATATAACATCAAATAATATAAATCTGTTATATTTGTAAATAATAACAATGAAAGTAAAGGTGCATCTGTACTGATGGGGTCTACTATCCTGCTTTTTGCCATAGATTTTCCAAGATTACCGTGGATTGTCGCCCAGTTTGTTTCAAAGCATTCTTCAATTATGGAATTATTGTTCTTGAATTACACATAGCCTATAAATTCAGATGAGTAACTAGTTACTTTTGAGATATATTACAATAATATATTCATTTTTGAAGTAATGCAGTAGTGTAACTCATTACAGACTTAAAATTGGTAATATATTAGTAATATATTATAAATCAAATGAACTCAAATTACATACATAATTATTTACTTAGTAAAGATGATCACAATAAGAGCATGCTGTCTCCTAAAACAACAGTATTAAAAAAAAAAAAAACCTGTTTCATACGATTAGTGTAAACAAAAGAACAACATTTTGATGAATCCAAGCAAACAGGCAGGACAGGTGAGGTCCTCCGGGCGACCTTTAAGTCTACAATATTTGTGTAAAACTTATGACACTAATAAGTAATAATGTATTGATGTTGTCAATCTATGTTTCAGATTGTTGCTGTATGCAAGACTTTAAGGATAGTCTTTGTCATGAAATCACTACATAACATCACTGTCTTCTCTTCAAAAATAGATATTTTTGCATTATCATCATTAGACAAAATAATCTTCATAGAGAAGAGAAATAATCTTCATAGAGAAAACAGTGAATGAAATGTGAAATGATTGTGTTTATACTCACCATAGTCACACAGTAGAGCCAGACAGAGACACTGCAGCATCAGTCCACATGGAGAGCACCTCATGATGGACACCAGCACCAGCACCAGCAGTAGCAGCACCAGCACCAGCACCAGCAGCAGCAGGAGGTTATTATACTACAGTCTATGGTCCTCTCATTATGACTTCATCCACGCAAATCACATGCGCGCGGGTTTCCTGTAGGTTCAAAAAAGGAAGTCCGTATATTTCCTGAATATCACATTTGACATGATTACCTGATTATTTACCTTAACCCCCCTTTAACTCTGCTTACACAGTCGGCGCGCTGCATTTTCAAACCTCAAAAACAAAATGCGCCCTGAAGCTTCTGAGATACTTTGATAAGCACAGATAAAAATCTAACATACATATGGTTTCAATTAGGCAACTTCTTCCTCTTTTAAGAACGCGTTTACATAAATTGACGCATGCGCAGCAGTTTGATGTTGGACATATCATTGACATTCACATAAAAACTATAATTGTTTAATATGACAATCAATTGTTTTCAACGGAATTTGTGTTCGGCATTGGAGAAATCTCTTTTGACCATGCAGACATGGGAGACAAACAATTGAGTTAACAGTGCCCTCTAGTGGTCAGAATAGTACATTACTCCACATGGCCACACGAAATTACATTTTTTTAATTGGACATTAAAAGTTGCTATATTGTATTGATTTTAAAAATAAAAACTTCTTCTTTTAAACATCACGATGCATTATAAACAATATAGGAGCCTATATGACAGACATAATAATCTTTGGGGGAGAAAAAACACATAAACATACATATATATACATATATATATATATGTTTCTGTATGTTTATATATATATATATATATATATATATATATATATATATATATATATATATATATATATATATATATATATACATATATATAACTATATAATATCCTATAAAATGAATTGCAGTTTAAGCAACAAGAAGAGGAAGTGTTTAGTGACAAGAGTTGCATCAAGTTCCCCTGAAGCTAAGTAGGAAGTCTGATAAGGACTGGAAAAAACAAACACACAACCGACCTAACTATGGAAACTACGGGGCTAATTGTTTATCTCTAGAAGCTGCGGCTCAAAAATATTCACTTTTACTTTTATTTTGTACAAGTTCATGGCAGCAGCAGCAGCAGCAGAAGCAGCGATGAGTGACAGTTTGGAGACGACCACAGACACCAGCGCCCTGTCTGCTGCTTCAGGGGCCGAGAATGATGTGATTGGGGATGAACGGGAAACGTCTGACTTGTGCTGGGAGGATGCTGGTCTGCCTGTGGAGCTCCAGAAAGGAATGGATAATCTCCGGCTGAACAGAGAGCTGACCGACGTTGTGCTGAGTGTGCAAGGAGAGGACTTCCCCTGCCATAGAGCCATCCTCGCAGCTGCCAGCCACTACTTTAGGTGCATTCTTTTTACCACTCTATTTACATTATCAGTCCTATAGGTTGTTGCATTGCCATTTCCACAATATATTCAACTTATGTAATATCATAGACATCTTTGGGTCAACTTATTTCCTGCTTCAAAAGCCTTTTCTAATGTATCACTGCCAAAACAAAACAAAAACCAATAAAACCCAATTTATGTATTCAATTCTACAACACTTTAATATAAATGGCTCGTTATATTTACATTTAATAGTTTTTCTGCCTTAAATACACAAATAAATACCAATTCTGTAGTCTTTTTGCACCACACATTCTCATTTTAGACCAATAGGCTGCAAAATTACTAAAGACTGACAGCCCTGATTACCTAATAATAAACATTTGAAAATAAAAAATGACAGCTGCTTTATTAAGTGAACTTTCCAAAGACGATAAATTCTTCACTGAAGGGTTGTGCTTTCACTCCATGAGACAGGGCATTTTTAAAGTAGTGATAATTAATGGTGTTAAGTGGGCCATGTGTTTCAGGGCCATGTTCTGCAGCGGTCTGAGGGAGAGCCACGAGGAGAGGGTGGAGATGAAAGGACTAGACAGTGAGACCATGAGGATTCTACTGGACTATACGTACACAGGCCGCGCTCTGCTCACAGAAACTAATGTTCAGAGGATAGTTGAAGCGGCCAGCCAGTTTCAGGTAATGTATGTATAAATGTGTAACTATTAATGACTAAAGCTATTAGAAGGTTCTTGATGGTTTTGTGTCCTGATAATATTGGTCGATTGGTTATTTTTAGGTAGTAGAATAATCATCACAATGGTAACTGATATTAGGTCTACTTTAAAAAACCTTCTTGCAGGTATCCAAGAACTTAAATACACAAAGTAACTAATCATTTACTCCTAAATTCTGATAATTGGACTTTTTCCCATGTTCTATAATGTTGATGTGAAAAATCTTTTGCACTTAAAAAAAAAAAATCTCTGCCAGGTGGTAATAAATTCATCAGTGATATAAATTGTTATCAAAAGTTGGAGTATTTACTTAAAAGCCTAATTTCATTACGTATACATAAAATAAAGACCGGTGCCGTTTTTAACCGTTTTTAGAAATAAGAGATAAAGTGGGCTCATTTATATACTGTACAAATAAACATCCTGTGATACACTTGAAATGAATACTTCAAAATGTATTCCATGTGATTAATGTTGTTTGTCACTCTTAAACAGATTCTGTGTATTTTCATGTAAGAGAAAGAGTTTTCTTTACTCTTAATTCAAAGAGTAAAGAATTGATTTATATTTTGTTCTACCTGACGAAAAGTGAAAGTTCAAGTTTGCAGTTTTCTGTGTGCGTCGGAAAATAACTCACAGCTGCCCAAAGCAATGAGCCAGGTGACAGTGATGTAAACATATGCAGGAAACACAACGGTGCGTGGTAACTGGAATTTCACGTCACAATAATCTATGCTTGAGTAATACACATTTCAATCCTGTTGGTCGGTGAAAGTAAAGTGCCTCACAGGCCTATAGTATTGTGATAATCTGGACTATGTAATTATGGATGTGGCATTCAAGCACCGGGATAAGAATAGTGATAATGATAAAACTCCATACTAAATAAATACATGCACTGAAAACAAAAAAAACATACAAGCGTGGGCAAAAAATAACTGATTACATGAATGTAGCTAGTTCCTACATGTGTTTTTGGGCATTGTCACATCTTTAGATCTGGTCTTTCAGTGAAAAAGAAAGGATCAGCCTCATTCCAATAGGCTCTCAGTATGCAAACGGTTCTGTTGCAAACTAAATATGTTAGGCAAAAATAAAATGTATGGAAACTTTGATATTTTTTAAACTATAAAAAAAAAAATTCCAGTGGGGCAAGCATAGGGAAAGGCAATTCTTACTTACAATGACAAAAATGGTACTATAAAAATATGTTGGAAAGTTTGGACAAAACAAATCACCTCACAATATTGATTTATCCAGTATTTTATCTGTGGATATTTGTGCGTCTGTGCTATAGTTCCTGCGTGTGGTCGAGGCCTGTGCATTTTTCCATTTTGCAGTGAAATTTATGGGCCTCCTGTTTGTCAGAGGGCGGAGCCATGATAACATTTCGGTCGTATCTTGACTTGAGGAACATGTGTACCGAATTTCATGGCTCTACGACAAACTTGACCTCTGAAACTCCCATTGGCTGTTGTAGGTGGCGCTGTTCTGGCATTTTTTGAGTCCCATAAAAATAAACACCAAAATATCAAATTTTTCAACAGGTCTGATGTTTGGTCAAAATTTTACAACTTTTCATGCATGTTCAGGGGGTGAAATTAAGGCTCAAAGTGCAGAATTTGACATCTCTCTCGAGCAAAAACAATAGGCCCTTTCCCCGTTCGGGGCTCGGGCCTAATAATAACCCCCATGGGATTTTTCGGAGGTCAAGTTTGTCGTAGAGCCATGAAATTCGGTACACATGTTCCTCAAGTCAAGACATGAAAAAAATGTTATTATGGCCCCGCCCTCTGACATACAGGGAGCCCATAAATTTCACTGCAAAATGGAAAAATGAACAGCAATCATTTTCATACATGTCGGTTGGAAAGCGACTCCTCCTCGGCCGTTTCACCGATTCGCCTCAAAATCGCTCCAGATCATCTCAACACATGTACCTTGAAAATGACTTTGGCGATTTTTTCATCAGTGAAACGTTGTTCGAACAGGGGAGCTGCAAATTGTGACCTTTTTTTGGTCGTTTTGGACAATATTAAATTTGCTCCCGTTTGCACATACAAAGTCTGATTTGCACAAAACTTTAATACATTGTTTAACTCTAGGGTCTAGGTCAATTATAAGTGAAATAAAAGAACTTGGCTCATTAGTGCCCCTACAGATGGAGTCAAAGTTTTCAGAGTTTTTCATACTAAAAACTTTGAAATAGTCTGTAGGGGGCGTTAATGAGCCAAGTTCAATTATTTCACTTTCAAATGACCTAGACCCTAGAGTTGAACCATGGATTCAAGTTTTGTGCAAATCGGAATTTGTATGTGTAAACGGGAGCAAATAGAACGTTGTGAAAAACGGCCAATAAACGCTCACATTTTGCCGCTCCGCTGCTCAAACACCGTTTCACTGATCAAAAATCCCTGAGGTCATTTTGATGGTACATGTGTTTAGACAATGTGGAGTGATATGGAGGCCAATCGGTGAAACGGCCGAGGAGGAGTCGCTTTCCAACCGACATGTATGAAAACTTTTGCTGTTCATTTTTCCATTTTGCAGTGAAATTTATGGGCCTCCTGTTTGTCAGAGGGCGGAGCCATGATAACATTTCGGTCGTATCTTGACTTGAGGAACATGTGTACCGAATTTCATGGCTCTACGACAAACTTGACCTCTGAAACTCCCATTGGCTGTTGTAGGTGGCGCTGTTCTGGCATTTTTTGAGTCCCATAAAAATAAACACCAAAATATCAAATTTTTCAACAGGTCTGATGTTTGGTCAAAATTTTACAACTTTTCATGCATGTTCAGGGGGTGAAATTAAGGCTCAAAGTGCAGAATTTGACATCTCTCGAGCAAAAACAATAGGCCCTTTCCCCGTTCGGGGCTCGGGCCTAATAATAACCCCCATGGGATTTTTCGGAGGTCAAGTTTGTCGTAGAGCCATGAAATTCGGTACACATGTTCCTCAAGTCAAGACATGAAAAAAATGTTATTATGGCCCCGCCCTCTGACATACAGGGAGCCCATAAATTTCACTGCAAAATGGAAAAATGAACAGCAATCATTTTCATACATGTCGGTTGGAAAGCGACTCCTCCTCGGCCGTTTCACCGATTCGCCTCAAAATCGCTCCAGATCATCTCAACACATGTACCTTGAAAATGACTTTGGCGATTTTTCATCAGTGAAACGTTGTTCGAACAGGGGAGCTGCAAATTGTGACCTTTTTTTGGTCGTTTTGGACAATATTAAATTTGCTCCCGTTTGCACATACAAAGTCTGATTTGCACAAAACTTTAATACATTGTTTAACTCTAGGGTCTAGGTTCAATTAAAAGTGAAATAAAAGAACTTGGCTCATTAGTGCCCCTACAGATGGAGTCAAAGTTTTCAGAGTTTTTCATACTAAAAACTTTGAAATAGTCTGTAGGGGGCGTTAATGAGCCAAGTTCAATTATTTCACTTTCAAATGACCTAGACCCTAGAGTTGAACCATGGATTCAAGTTTTGTGCAAATCGGAATTTGTATGTGTAAACGGGAGCAAATAGAACGTTGTGAAAAACGGCCAATAAACGCTCACATTTTGCCGCTCCGCTGCTCAAACACCGTTTCACTGATCAAAAATCCCTGAGGTCATTTTGATGGTACATGTGTTTAGACAATGTGGAGTGATATGGAGGCCAATCGGTGAAACGGCCGAGGAGGAGTCGCTTTCCAACCGACATGTATGAAAACTTTTGCTGTTCATTTTTCCATTTTGCAGTGAAATTTATGGGCCTCCTGTTTGTCAGAGGGCGGAGCCATGATAACATTTCGGTCGTATCTTGACTTGAGGAACATGTGTACCGAATTTCATGGCTCTACGACAAACTTGACCTCTGAAACTCCCATTGGCTGTTGTAGGTGGCGCTGTTCTGGCATTTTTTGAGTCCCATAAAAATAAACACCAAAATATCAAATTTTTCAACAGGTCTGATGTTTGGTCAAAATTTTACAACTTTTCATGCATGTTCAGGGGGTGAAATTAAGGCTCAAAGTGCAGAATTTGACATCTCTCGAGCAAAAACAATAGGCCCTTTCCCCGTTCGGGGCTCGGGCCTAATAATAACCCCCATGGGATTTTTCGGAGGTCAAGTTTGTCGTAGAGCCATGAAATTCGGTACACATGTTCCTCAAGTCAAGACATGAAAAAAATGTTATTATGGCCCCGCCCTCTGACATACAGGGAGCCCATAAATTTCACTGCAAAATGGAAAAATGAACAGCAATCATTTTCATACATGTCGGTTGGAAAGCGACTCCTCCTCGGCCGTTTCACCGATTCGCCTCAAAATCGCTCCAGATCATCTCAACACATGTACCTTGAAAATGACTTTGGCGATTTTTCATCAGTGAAACGTTGTTCGAACAGGGGAGCTGCAAATTGTGACCTTTTTTTGGTCGTTTTGGACAATATTAAATTTGCTCCCGTTTGCACATACAAAGTCTGATTTGCACAAAACTTTAATACATTGTTTAACTCTAGGGTCTAGGTCAATTAAAAGTGAAATAAAAGAACTTGGCTCATTAGTGCCCCTACAGATGGAGTCAAAGTTTTCAGAGTTTTTCATACTAAAAACTTTGAAATAGTCTGTAGGGGGCGTTAATGAGCCAAGTTCAATTATTTCACTTTCAAATGACCTAGACCCGAGAGTTGAACCATGGATTCAAGTTTTGTGCAAATCGGAATTTGTATGTGTAAACGGGAGCAAATAGAAGGTTGTGAAAAACGGCCAATAAACGCTCACATTTTGCCGCTCCGCTGCTCAAACACCGTTTCACTGATCAAAAATCCCTGAGGTCATTTTGATGGTACATGTGTTTAGACAATGTGGAGTGATATGGAGGCCAATCGGTGAAACGGCCGAGGAGGAGTCGCTTTCCAACCGACATGTATGAAAACTTTTGCTGTTCATTTTTCCATTTTGCAGTGAAATTTATGGGCCTCCTGTTTGTCAGAGGGCGGAGCCATGATAACATTTCGGTCGTATCTTGACTTGAGGAACATGTGTACCGAATTTCATGGCTCTACGACAAACTTGACCTCTGAAACTCCCATTGGCTGTTGTAGGTGGCGCTGTTCTGGCATTTTTTGAGTCCCATAAAAATAAACACCAAAATATCAAATTTTTCAACAGGTCTGATGTTTGGTCAAAATTTTACAACTTTTCATGCATGTTCAGGGGGTGAAATTAAGGCTCAAAGTGCAGAATTTGACATCTCTCGAGCAAAAACAATAGGCCCTTTCCCCGTTCGGGGCTCGGGCCTAATAATAACCCCCATGGGATTTTTCGGAGGTCAAGTTTGTCGTAGAGCCATGAAATTCGGTACACGTGTTCCTCAAGTCAAGACATGAAAGAAATGTTATTATGGCCCCGCCCTCTGACATACAGGGAGCCCATAAATTTCACTGCAAAATGGAAAAATGAACAGCAATCATATTCATACATGTCGGTTGGAAAGCGACTCCTCCTCGGCCGTTTCACCGATTCGCCTCAAAATCGCTCCAGATCATCTCAACACATGTACCTTGAAAATGACTTTGACGATTTTTCATCAGTGAAACGTTGTTCGAACAGGGGAGCTGCAAATTGTGACCTTTTTTTGGGCCGTTTTGGACAATATTAAATTTGCTCCCGTTTGCACATACAAAGTCTGATTTGCACAAAACTTTAATACATTGTTTAACTCTAGGGTCTAGGTCAATTAAAAGTGAAATAAAAGAACTTGGCTCATTAGTGCCCCTACAGATGGAGTCAAAGTTTTCAGAGTTTTTCATACTAAAAACTTTGAAATAGTCTGTAGGGGGCGTTAATGAGCCAAGTTCAATTATTTCACTTTCAAATGACCTAGACCCGAGAGTTGAACCATGGATTCAAGTTTTGTGCAAATCGGAATTTGTATGTGTAAACGGGAGCAAATAGAAGGTTGTGAAAAACGGCCAATAAACGCTCACATTTTGCCGCTCCGCTGCTCAAACACCGTTTCACTGATCAAAAATCCCTGAGGTCATTTTGATGGTACATGTGTTTAGACAATGTGGAGTGATATGGAGGCCAATCGGTGAAACGGCCGAGGAGGAGTCGCTTTCCAACCGACATGTATGAAAACTTTTGCTGTTCATTTTTCCATTTTTGCAGTGAAATTTATGGGCCTCCTGTTTGTCAGAGGGCGGAGCCATGATAACATTTCGGTCGTATCTTGACTTGAGGAACATGTGTACCGAATTTCATGGCTCTACGACAAACTTGACCTCTGAAACTCCCATTGGCTGTTGTAGGTGGCGCTGTTCTGGCATTTTTTGAGTCCCATAAAAATAAACACCAAAATATCAAATTTTTCAACAGGT